AACACTCTTTCCATAGTGTGCCAAGATTGTAGTGGTGGGCTTTCAGATTCCTCATCTTCCTTGGCTTTGATATACACTGTGTCAAACTATTCATATTTTCAAGCACGTTAGGCTTTAGATATCATGGGAGAATGAGATAGTTTTTATCCGTGATTTTAAGAATTCATATAATATTCCAGGATAGAGTTTTTGGTGAGCTAATAGTAATTAAGAAGAATGTAGAAAAAACTTTTCTCTTGATAAATTCACTTTTTCAAAGCTATTATTTTCTATCAACTCATAATTTCTTTAGATATAAAAATTTAGATATAAAATCTAAATACCAACTCGATTTTTATTTTCCATGCCTGCTGCCAAAATGCTAATTCCACATGAGATGAATGGGTGCCTCTTGCAGATAGGATGGGCACTAAGCACTAGGAAATACAAAAAAGGAAAAGAGCATATTAATGTATTTCCCCAACAGGACTATCACATTGTTCAAAATATGAAAAGACACTCACTCCAGAGACAAGGAAAATATATTTATGAAACACATATGTGACAACTTATATTCAGAATACATAACTTTTTCAACTCCAAAAATATAATCAATGACCCTATTTTAAATATGGGAAAATATTTGAAAATACACTTCCAAAGCAGATAGGTGAATGGTCAATAACCATGTGCAGAGTGCTTAGCCTTACATATCATCAAGAATATACTACTAAAGCTGTAATAAAACATCACTATACTTAAATTACTAAAATTGAAAATATGCACAAATACTACAGGTTGACAAAGATATAGAACAATAAGATTCTAGTACTTTACTGGGAGGATACAAAGTGGGACAGTCATTTTGAAAAATGGTTTCTTATACAATTAACCCCATACTTGCCACATGATCTACCCATTCCACTCATAAGAATTTCCCAAGAGAAATGAAAATACATGGCTACATAAAGACCTGTAAAAATATTCATTCCATCTTTATTAAAAAACTAGAAGCAACCAAAATGTTCATGAACTGATAAGTAATGGCATAGGTATGCAATAAAACACTATTCAAAATTAAAAAGGAACAACCTGTTGATATGTATAACAATATGAGTGAACCTCAAAAGCATTATGATACATAAAAGAAGCTCTCCATAGTCCCCCATCTGATGCAGACACCTGCCCACAGCGTCCACAGCGTTATGGATGAGATGAAATAAATTCACACAGACTATCGAGTCTTGTGGAGGAAAAGGGACAGCACAGCTATTCTCTCAAGGGGAGAGCATGCTGACCCTTGCCTTGACAGGCTTTTGTCAAAAAAGAAAGCTTTCTTTTATTAGAAAGCACACAGTTGCTTTCTGATAGCATATATCAAAGAAGGTTTTCATTCATTATACTTAGGTTTGCTTTAGGTAATGCAAGGGAACAATAAGAGTAACAGGTCAGGTTACACTTCAGTCCTTGGGAGAATTAGCACAGACTTCAGGAATTTAAAGATATGCAGCAAGTGTTTTCTGCCTGAACTCAGGGTGAGGGAGTTTTAGGAAGAGCAAGTCACAAAGCAGCCTAGGTATAATGCAGGCCTGATTTCCCATGGGAGAACTTCTTCATGGGCGTGGTCCCGTGTGCTGACTTGCTCTCCACTGGTTTTTCACGTGGGTGCTAAGCCACATTTCCACGCCTTGAGAAGTGGTTTCCTACACCCATAGACTAAGGCCAGTTCAAATATGTGCTACACTGCCACCAGATTCTAAGGTATTTTGCTTACTCTGCTTTCCCAATCGTTTTCCACCAGGCCAATATCTAACATCTTTCTATCATCTTTAAAAACCCAATTCAAATACAAGAGTCCCAAGTTCCTCACATGATTTTTTACTCTTCTCATTAACCTTCGCAGCACCATGAATTATACCATTAGCATTGGATAGGCAGACTAAGCTCTCGGTAACAAACATATTGCTTATTTTGCTGTGATAATTTGCATGGCTGTCTCCCCTAATATGAGTTCCCCAAGATCAAGATCTCTGTTTGCTTCATCTGAATATCCCCTGGCATCTCTTAAAGCCTCCAAGAAATGTATGACCAATCTATATGGTTATCTTTGTTTTTTGATTAAGCAGAAACTCAGTGATATGAGCAACATAATATATTAAAAAACTATAAAACTTTATGGTGATAATTAATTGCATGTGGCATCTAACAAACAAAATAATATAATTAACACAGTAGAAATGGACTCATAGATTCAGAGAATAGACTGACAGCTGTCAGAGGAGAAGGGGGCCTGGGAGCTGGGTGAAGGGATTAAGCCCAGAAGAAAAAAAAACCTCATAGACAATAATACAATGATTACCAGAGAGAAAGGGGAGTATGGAAGGGTAGAAGACAGTAAAGGGTCGGGAGTAAACAGTGATGGGAGGAGACTTGACCAGGAGTGGTTAACACACAATACAATATACAGATAATGGATTATAGAATTGTATACCTGAAACCTATATAATTGTATTAGCCAATGTCACCCCAATAAATTCAATAAAATTTTAAAATTATAAAGAAAAAGTGCAAAGAAGACATAAAAATATTTGTGGATGTTTATTGTTGAATAGTTACTTAGAGTATAAGTTTCAACAATAATATCAAGAAGACTCACTAATATATGAACAATAAACAGTCTGACCTAAGAACAGTGAACATGTATGATTTTATAATAGTTTTGATACCGAGGTAGGTTGTCACTTTTATCTTCAAACTTAAAAGATAGGTAAAAAAATAACTAGCAAAAGAGCATTCACTGGATCCTGATTCAAAATAATTCCTTTAAACAAACATGAATTCTAGAACAGCAAAGTAAATAATGCCTGGAAATGTGACAGATAGGATCCAATATTTTAAATAGGTATCAACTCAAAATTAAAATCTTGAGTACAGAATTTGTATCAATACATAAAATGTACCAGACACTGATTAATGTCCATTATATCAAAATTCTCCACCAGCTAATTAAAATTTATTAAGGCCAAAGTCTTATATATTTGTCATAGAGTTGCATAGGGTATTTTGCTGATAATGGTAACCCTATATACGTTTATTAGATAATTTATTCAGGTATACTAAAATTTGGTTGTTTTAATCTTGCTAGAAATAAATGGGTCAGCTCATAGACTGAAAATCTTTTACTATAGAGAATTATCTATTATACACAGTCTGTGGCACTTTGTGACAGTAAATTCTTGTAAAAATATTATTTTAAACATCGTGACTTATTTAGGCCACAGCTAGAGTAATTCTCTCCATTACTATTTTGACATGAGAACTTTAGAAAGTGATTAAATATAATAAGAGATTGGTGAAGAGTAAGAGGAAATTGAGGTAACTTAAATGAAGATTGAAACCCTGAAACCACCCTTAATATTAAAATATATAATTTAGTAAATGATAAATGTTTTCTACTGTGAAAATGAAATAATAACATGACTTAAAAGAATATTCTGGATATAAGAAATATATTTCTAATTGTAAGGTACAAGTTACCAGCAAAATGAATTATGAAAGTAATCTTTGCACTATTAATAACATTTTGGTGTTTTTGTCATCATAGTAGTATAAAGTCAGAGTTTTCATGTTATAGTTCATGGGTATCTACCACTCTTTTCTAAGGCCAAGGAGGCTAACTGTGGAGTTTATCCTGTATGGACTCAGCAAGGCAACAGCATCCAGAGGCGCTTCTTTTTTAGGTCCGGCCCTTCATTGCTATGAGTCAGCATGGGTACCCTGCTGCCTACATGGAGGAGCTCCAGCTAGATTCTGGGCTATTCTTTCCCTGCCTTCAGCTGTTTTCAGCTCTGCCCTCCCTCATGAGCAACAGTGCACTGCTTCTACTGTCCAGAGGAGGCCCATACATGAGTAGTTATGAATATATGAAAAGTTATATTGCAATTGGCAAGCTACAGCTTCCTATAAAAGTCATGCTGTATTTGAAGAAGTCTGAAGCTCAGAAGTCATATAAAAGGAAGGCTTAGTCTTTAGCTCCTGTCTTGTCCTCTTCTCCTCAGTCTGGAGGTATTAACTGCCCTTTTGAATCTGCTACTTCTGGATTTCCTAGAGTCTTCTCGTCCCAGTCAATAGTTAACTACTTTTACTAGTAAGCAACTATTTATATTTAACTTTCCTTATTCAAATAACCAGTGAGGTTTTAGTGACCTGACTTGACCCATGATATAAACATTCAATAACTGGCTCATCGATGGAGTATCATCCCATATTGACCTGTATCTTTCCACCAGAAATACATCTGATCTGATGAGTTAGTTACATGATAATGCTTAAAAACCAAAACTTTATAGAAACCATGGAAACAGGGAATATCAGAGTTTTAAAAAAAGACTCCTTTCTAATTTAATTTTATTATATCATTCTGAGCATATAGGAACTGCAAAAATATACTTTGTTTTTGAAAATGTGGCTATCATTTCTACAGCATCCTTTCTTACACTCCCACTTACCAACTATTGGTCAAATGCTTTCTTTGGAACCAACATTTGGAGTCTCTTGCTCACAGTATACATAGAAAATGATTACTTTCTGCTTGCTACCTTAGCAGAATAATTGGAACAAATACATTTTAAGACTCATTCCAAGTGGTTCATTTGCAAGTATAAGTAAGTTGTTCGGTGGATTTGGAAGTGTATCTTTTGTATGGCCAACTGTTCTTTTCTTAAAGTTAGTAAAGTTTCACAACTTTGGGGTTTGTGAAAAGGGAAAACTGTAATTTTAGCAGACAGTGTTGTTCTTAGGCATGGACAAACTTGGGTTCCTGCCCAGCTTCCCAACTGTAGGATTGTGTTGCTCTGCCTCTTCTCAGGACCTCTGTTTTCTGCTAATAGACCACAGGTTTTCTTGTGGGTGTTCTATTGTTAAGGATAATAAAAACAAATTCTTAAGAAAACTCAGTAGAAATTTACAGTGCTTATAACATAATTCTCTCTCTCTCTCTTTCTCTCTTTTTCTTTTGGCAGAAAACAGGCACAGGCTGGCTCGGCTGACACCTCATCTCAAAAAAAAGAAAGAAAGAAAGAAAGAAAAGTAAAGAAGAAGGATCAGAAGAAAATAAAATCGAGGCACAGATGGCAACAAACATTCTGAAACCTCCATGATGAAAAGTTCTGAGATAGAATACTCAGGGACTGGGCAGCCATCCCTTTGATGATAGGTTTTCAAAGATCTATTCCTTAGTGTAGGTTATAGAGATGGGTTGGAAGAGTCTATTTTTAAGAAAAGAAAAAGGAAAGATTTGGTTACCCTACATAAAAAGGACTTTATGAAAAAATTTTAGGCAATCTTAATTTCTCTAGATGATTACTCTGCGTGTAGGTTGCCAGGGTGAGGAAGGGGGAAACAGTTTGACTTAGGGTCATTTTATTTTTTTTAGGTAGACCTTCATCAAAGCATAAAAATGGCAGCTATATTAGGCAACTCTATTAGATAGCTATTTCATAAAGTCTTAAAAAGCATAAAAACTAGGGAAGAATATTACCATAATCATTATCAATACCTAATCGTAGAAGCAACATTATCATTTTCCATGATTTTCAGGTAGTTATATGAAAGGCTCCCTTGCCCCACTCAACATCGTTTAACAGTATAAGATGAAAAGCTTTAGTCATGACTCTGAATACTTTAAAATGTCAAGTGATAGCAAGAACCCAAAGAAATAAAGTAAATCTTCTTATAAGCTTGTACTAAATTATTACACAATGGTGAAAATAAGACTTACTTCTTAGTGGTTTAGTAATTATATCACCTACAAAAATACAATAAATAATAGCAAATAATATTTAAGTGAAGTAGAGTAAGTATGCATTCTCGATTTTAGGATCCCTTTGAAATCCATTATTTCTGAGAGAATAAATTTGTGCTTTTCCACAACAAGTACTCCAAAGAGATAGCTTTCTTTTTAAGCAAACAGTTTTAAAAGGCTGATAAGACAACATCGAAAGGCCAGTGGGACAAATTATTTTGAATGTTAGTAAGTGAAGTATAGACTCAGTGAATACACCCAACTAAAAAATTCTTCCTTGTGGATACCTGTCTACTCTCTGCCAAACCACCCTTCATCTGAGTCTAGCTCCCTAAAGCAATGTCTACTGCTGTCACATGTCATCCTGAGATTCTAGACCTCAGGATGTTTTTTTCTAGCCTTTAGAGGGCAGTATCTCCCAAAATCTCCATCTAAAATCATCTTCTTGGGCCCAGTTCATCAGGGCTTTGTTAAAATTCTCTGGTACCCATGAAATGGCCCTCCTTGACTATATATAATATAATCTGCTTACCATACACTGCTCATTGTGCTGTTCTCAAAGGAACAGGCAGATACTTTACCTACAAATATGTTTTTACCAAGGGAATATCAAACACAATGGAAGGATGATGGGGGAGATTTGGGGAAATGAATAACCTCACATCAATCTCAAATTATGTGTATGCATATTTATATTATATATTATATGTGTATATATACTAATAGTATTATATACATGTACTATACACACACATATATAGTATAACATTATGCGTGTGTGTGTGTGTATAATATATACATGCATCCTTGGTTGCCAGGTTAATCTATGTCATGCAAACTGTTCTTGTTATATTAACAATGGTTGGAATTTTTTAGGACATACATTTTATATATATATGTATATATGATAATATGGGTATATATATCAGGACCATTTGTGTGTGTGTGTAACTTGTATATGAGTGTATGTATATTATATGACTATATATATACATACACACATATGTATATGTGCGTGTGTATATATATACGTAAACTGGCCATATAGGTCTCATAATTGAGTTATAGAGGATAGGTGGAGGAAAATGTAATGAATGAGAAAACACATTTAAATAGTGCAGTTTATATTCCATTTCACCTGACCATTAACATACAAAAATACAGAAGACATATTAACCAAGATTCCTATTTATGGAGTAGAAATCAGAGATGCCTATTTATCAAAAGAACAGAGATTTTTTTTTTTATCAAAAGAAGCCAGAATCTAGATCTTTAAGTGAATTTTCTAGTTGTTAATGTTGACTTATTTACATGTAAAGTTTGATCAGGACATTTTTGAAGACTGAATACAACATATGGCCATTGTATCTGAGAAGGAAGCTGCTGACACAAGGAGCTCTTCTCTGAGGAAAATTTAAAGATCTGAACATTACTTGGGGGGAAGAGAGCGCAAACATTTGATATACATAAGGGAGGAGCTCCTACAATGCAAAGTCACAGAAATAGATTAAGTCTAGGCCAACGCATTGCCACTCAGTGACAAACCGGTTAATAATATTTAGTGAATTTAACAGGTTTCTAAATAATGTAACACCAAATGGCTAATTGAGATTTAAAACTTTTTGATAACTGATGATTGAATAGATTAAGCTTTCTTCTGTTTTTTTAAAGCCAAGGGTCTTTTATACAAGTGATCCTCTCAATTATTCCTGCATGATGGTCAGCCTAAAGCTTGTATCATTGTTTGTTTTCAGCATCTAAACAGAGAACTTAATAGACCAAAGTTTCAAGCATGTGTATGGCTCACCCAGGCATATCATAAAGATATCTTGAGCACACGGTTGTTTTTTATCTTAATGTTTTGTTCTTTTCTATCAAATTAAAGCTTATATTTGCTAATCTGGTTTCCATAGTAGGATCAGATGAAAAGGTAATAGGTGTCTGAAGTGAAATAAAAAGGGGTAAAATACAGAGATTATCAGAAAACAGCATGAACACATTAACCAATATTAGGCAAGAAAATGAATTATTTAATGTCATTCTCTATTAACATAACAGTTAAAATAGGACCAAAATATACATAAAAATGAAATAAAACAATTAGGCAACACTTTAAATGGTTCATTATTATTAATTCATTTAGTATTCATTATAATTGTGCTGGTCATAATGAATTCATTTGATATTAATGGGACTGCTCAGCAGCAATATCATTGTAATGTAGTTTTAATTCATGTCATTAAAGTGAAGCAACACCAAAATTTATTTTTATTTTTGAATACTCTACTGATCTCTGATTTTTAGACATGTTATAACAATGATTTTATTTTTTTAATCAGGGTGAACAGTGGAGGTTTAAGACAAACTAAAACATGTGTCTTAAGCTACATCGGTAATGTTAAACTTAACAGAGGTTTCCTCTGTAATTAAAATGTCTTATGACATTTGGAAAATACAGGGATTAATGGCTACTGCAAAATTTGTCATATGTAAATTTCTGTTAACATTTAACTCTTTCATGCTATTAAATCTTTTTTAACTTATTGCCATTAGTAGAGCATTAGCAAAGATATTTTGAATTTACCATCCTCTGCATTTGTGGAAAGTTGTAGGCAAATTCTATATTTGCATGTCCTTGGACCAAATAGTGATTTTAGTTATTTCCAAATATTTCATTCACACTCAAAAAATAGAATTTATTTTATGATGAAAATTGTATCCTTTTTAGTGAATGGTACCAGATTTTTTATAAAGATATTGAGAAAAGTCTACAGAGAATTCCTCTGTAGAACTGCAACCATAAGGTTTTAATAAAAACCCTCAAAATAGCAGCAGCAATGTACTCAGTAACATGTTTACTTTTACTTTCTCTGGAGGCAGTCTGTAAACCACTTTGCTAAATCCTCTAAGAACTAATGACAACAGACAAACAACCCAAATCCATATTCCAATCAACAGGCCCACTAAAAGAGCACTTAACCCTTTAGGCTGTTACTCAGCAATGCATGAGAAATCAGCCTACCCTGAAATTTCTCACCTGATATGTTATGCTCTCATACATTGTTCACAGGCTAGGTAGCCTAGAGGTATATGTGTATATAATTTGTCATTTTATTCATTACTGTGGAAATAATTAATTTGAATAAAGTTATCTTAAATAGCATTTAAGACTGCTTTCTGTTGCTCCAATCTCCACTGCAAATTTAAAATTGTTTAATGGTGGATTATAAATTTAACTCACATTGGTACTTTTCTTGCTATCTGAAATCACATTAATGAAAATTCTTGAAATATAAACTAATTCATTAAAATATTATGAATTAACAATATTTTTAAAAATATTTTCTCTCCTGACTGAAATAATTCAAATATTGAGCAAAATATATGAAACAGCACTTTTAAGACATTGGATATCAGCTAGTGGGATAAGTGTCCTGAAAGAAGAGAAACCAAGCATGTCCCATGATCATTCAGTTCACTGGCTGGAGGGGATGTATGTAGGCATAGCTTAGTGTCAGGTAACCCATATGGTGTTGTGCAGTGAATTTGTAGTTCAGAGAGACCAAAGTAGCTAGAGTTCACAGAGCAGAGCACTGGAGAGGAGATGACTGTAGAGAGAGAAAGAGATTGATAGAAGATAGAGTTAGAAAGATAGAACAAGAAGTCCAGAAATCAACAAAGGGCCCATGAGTCTTCACCAGAAAAACCAATACATTATATGTGAGGAAACTGCTTGAGACCAGAGAAAGAATGCTTAACTAGTAGAGGAAACAATCTGCAGGACCAGCGGAGAGCTAAGAGCAGAATTTGGTTGTACCAGCCATGGCAGAAAAATGTTGACAAGCAATCAGGACAATCTCTTGAGAGAAAGGAAATAAGCTATTGGCAGGCATCTGGGGAGCACTCAGAACGTCACTGCCTCAGTAATGGGGCAAAACTGATCCAAAAGTTGGCTCCAATATGCATTTCAAAACGCTTAAAAGAAAATTTCAAAAGATCAAACTATTTCTGAAAAATTTAAATACAACCAAGAAAAAAATGTTTAGTGGTATGTATGGAAATTAAAAAAGCACCCAGCAGCTAGAAGGTAGAATATACAGTGTCTGGCACCTAAGAAAAATGAACAGATATACTATTATCAGGAAAATATTTATCCGTAAGGAGAAAAATCAATCAATAGAAACTGACTCAGAAATAAAAGATAATAAAAATTAGTGGACAAAATCATTAAAACAGTTATTACAACTATGTTTCATGTATTTACAAATATATAAAAATTAAGCATATTCAGTAGAAATGTGCAAAATTTAAGCATTCCAAAACAAACTTATAGAAAATGAATATTACAATTCCTGTGTTGAAAATACACTGAATGGAATTACTAGCAAATTAGATACTACTACAGAAGAAAAGATTCATGCATGTGAAAAAGCAATACAAACTCTCCAACATAAAATACCAAAAAAAAACACACCTAAGACTAAAACATAATCAGAACATCATTAAGCTGTGGAACAATTCAAATCTGCATGAAATTGGGGCATCCAAAGAAAAGGAGAGGAGAGGAGAAAAAATTTTTGAAGAATTTTCCAAATTAGAGGAATAGTATAAACCCACAGATTTAAAAAGTTTAATAAACTTCACAAAAATGAAAGGATAGTAAAAAAGAGAGAAAAGGTAATAAAGAACAGATTGGAAAGTTAAGAAAAAGAAGACAAATACCAAGTAGGGAGGTTTAATTTCAAGTATGTCAATATTCACGTTAAATGTAAATTACCTAAAGATCCCAATTATAAGGTAAATGTTGTCTTATTTAAATA